CAAACCATACATATGGCTGATACAGCTATCCTAGCTTTAAAAACATCAAACCACACATATGGCTGATACAGCTATCCTAGCTTTAAAAACATCAAACCACACATATGGCTGATACAGCTATCCTAGCTTTAAAAACATCAAACCACACATATGGCTGATACAGCTATCCTAGCTTTAAAAACATCAAACCACACATATGGCTGATACAGCTATCCTAGCTTTAAAAACATCAAACCACACATATGGCTGATACAGCTATCCTAGCTTTAAAAACATCAAACCACACATATGGCTGATACAGCTATCCTAGCTTTAAAAACATCAAACCACACATATGGTTGATACAGCTATCCTAGCTTTAAAAACATCAAACCACACATATGGCTGATACAGCTATCCTAGCTTTAAAAACATCAAACCACACATATGGCTGATACAGCTATCCTAGCTTTAAAAACATCAAACCACACATATGGCTGATACAGTTATCCTAGCTTTAAAAACATCAAACCACACATATGGCTGATACAGCTATCCTAGCTTTAAAAACATCAAACCATACATATGGCTGATACAGCTATCCTAGCTTTAAAAACATCAAACCACACATATGGCTGATACAGCTATCCTAGCTTTAAAAACATCAAACCATACATATGGCTGATACAGCTATCCTAGCTTTAAAAACATCAAACCACACATATGGCTGATACAGCTATCCTAGCTTTAAAAACATCAAACCACACATATGGCTGATACAGCTATCCTAGCTTTAAAAACATCAAACCACACATATGGCTGATACAGCTATCCTAGCTTTAAAAACATCAAACCACACATATGGCTGATACAGCTATCCTAGCTTTAAAAACATCAAACCACACATATGGTTGATACAGCTATCCTAGCTTTAAAAACATCAAACCACACATATGGCTGATACAGCTATCCTAGCTTTAAAAACATCAAACCACACATATGGCTGATACAGCTATCCTAGCTTTAAAAACATCAAACCACACATATGGCTGATACAGTTATCCTAGCTTTAAAAACATCAAACCACACATATGGCTGATACAGCTATCCTAGCTTTAAAAACATCAAACCATACATATGGCTGATACAGCTATCCTAGCTTTAAAAACATCAAACCACACATATGGCTGATACAGCTATCCTAGCTTTAAAAACATCAAACCATACATATGGCTGATACAGCTATCCTAGCTTTAAAAACATCAAACCACACATATGGCTGATACAGCTATCCTAGCTTTAAAAACATCAAACCACACATATGGCTGATACAGCTATCCTAGCTTTAAAAACATCAAACCACACATATGGCTGATACAGCTATCCTAGCTTTAAAAACATCAAACCACACATATGGCTGATACAGCTATCCTAGCTTTAAAAACATCAAACCATACATATGGCTGATACAGCTATCCTAGCTTTAAAAACATCAAACCACACATATGGCTGATACAGCTATCCTAGCTTTAAAAACATCAAACCACACATATGGCTGATACAGCTATCCTAGCTTTAAAAACATCAAACCACACATATGGCTGATACAGCTATCCTAGCTTTAAAAACATCAAACCACACATGCTATTCACAATACGGCTTGTAAGTCTCTTTGCTTCTCTTACTTAAAATTTGAAATCTCGTTAGCCAGGGTCAGGTGAATTGTCAAACTATCATTATCAGTTTTTACGGTTTTAAATAACTTAACAATAGCGGGAGTAACTTGTATTTCTTTTTTTACCGATTTAATAAACATTTCACAATTGGTTTGAAAAATACTAGCCGGCTAGTTGGTGACCTACTTACAAGCCCTATTGAACTTGTCCTTTACAGCGCTTTACCCAAAAAAAAAATTATATTTGTATCGAGCCAACAAATGAACCGATGCTTTTGTCATCCTTTCAAATATTGCATTTTTTTGCTAGCTCAGCTATTACCTACATCAAAGAATTGATAGTATACACAGAAAATACAATTTAACCAAATACTTGTAAGAAATTGTACACATCCGATTCATTAATCTCCGAAAAAGGTTATCACAAAACACACAAGGAAACACAAATCTATAAGTACATTCATATAGGTAATCTGCAGAGAATAATATTGGGAATTGTTTTTATTAATTTTATTATTATTAATATTAATATTATTATATATGTTTTGTCCTTCAATGTTTATCGATTACGATACCTGTAGTAACGTTGGCAGGTCGTATAATATCTGCCTGTTATATGATAATATCGATACCTGGACTTTAACTCTAAACCGAAACGGAGTTTAGCCTTTGGAAGTTGCTATAATCTAGAGCCTGTCTTGTGATGATGCTAGATGGTTTACGCAAGGCATGTCCAATCTATCCCCCATTCGCGGTTTTTGTACAAGGTCTTGCCCAGCTTTTCTCAACAGTTGAGTATTCGTAATTTTTTTCTGGCCACCTTTGTTTAATATGCAGCGAAGGCATCCGTTAATGAACGTCTGAAGTTTGTTGTTATCAGTTTCAATTGTACGATTGCTCCTTCGAAATCAAGGCGCAAAATCTGGGCACACTTTAAGGAGAACCAGATTTTGACCATGTTTCAACCCCCCCCCCCAACCTTTCTCCCTCCATACGCCCGAGGGAGAGGCGTCACCTATTCAACGAACACACAAAGTTAGATTTACAACAAACAAAAAACGATACGATAATGTATTGTCCTACTTGTTTTTCAATACGTTCCTCCATCAATACCCGTCTAACAACAATGGAAGAAATAAACCGATTGAATACAACATTGTACGCCGGTGGCTGTGTCTAACTAAACTAATAAAGATGGATTTGAACGCCAGTCTTCTCCGGCCGTCACAGCTTAGTACTTTTGTGGGAAACAATAAAACGTTTTTATCGTCCGGACGGAAATTGTGCGCGACACTCTAATATACGTCTTCTGTAGGGCTGGTAAGTAGGTCACCAACCAGTTCTACGGCTCAATAAAACCTGCATGAGCCATAGAACTGGTTGGTGACCTACTTACCAGCCCTATATAAAAGCCATTTATTCCCCACCTCCAACATAAACATAATTCCTACACATATCCACCATCACGTTTTTTTTGTGTTTTTTTTTTTATTTTAAATATAATATAAATCCTACGTGACATTTCTTTACCCATCCCCAACATAAGCATAATAGGGCTGGTAAGTAGGTCACCAACGAGTTCTTTGGCTCATGCACGTTTTATTGAGCCGTAGAACTGGTTGGTGACCTACCTACCAGCCCTATTCCTACACATATCCACCAACACGTTTTCCGTTGTTTGTTTCTTTGTTGTTGTTTTTTAAATACAATATAAATCTTACGTCACATTTCTTTACCGACCCCTACCCCCACACTAGCGGTGCACTTCATCACATATAATGTTGGTGTATGACAACGATTCGTTTTTCCCTGTATTTGTTGCGATTATTTTGGTGGCGTTAATACATCTGATGTGTAACATTTCTTTCGAGTATATGGTTAATAAATTGTATCGTCTGTGTCTACTATCAATGACTTTTTGTTAGGATGGGGCGATAAAAAAAAAACGTTTTTTAAAAGCATGACGTCGTTCATAGATGAAATGTTTCAATGTTAGGCATATTGTTTGGGTGCTTAACAAATGGAAACCTATGGGTCTAGCGCAGTGGTTCTTAATCTGGGTTCGATCGAACCCTAGGGGTTTGATGAGTTAATCTCAGTGGTTCGGTGAAGGTCAAGATACACACACTACTCGTATGATTCACGATCGGATTTTGTCAACGCGGATGATAGACCAAGGGTTCGGCGAATGCGCATATGAACCTGATACGGTTAGGTACCTCCAAAAAAAAGTTAAGAACCACTGGTCTAGTGGCTGGTAACATGGGTGTGAGAAATGTAGAAACCCACGGGTCTAGCAGCTAGCTCCTTAAGTTGATTCTGTTGAGGTCTTTCTTTCATAAGAGCATTGCTCCATCCGGTTATGACCGTATGACAGCGAGTGTGTGTGTTTGTGTTGAGTGAGTGAGTGTAAGGTAAGTGGGCGTCAACAGACGTCATGAGCTCAAAGCAGACGTCAATTTTTATAGAAACTCGAAACCCAGGCTTCAAGTTCCCGGCTGCGAGACCGAAACTCTTTCTTTCTGCGACGTGTGAGAATGATATGATTGGGGTCTGATGACACGGTTATGTCTATATTAAGTACTTGGGATGGAGATTATAATTGTTTCATGTGAGACGGTTTCTAAAACCCGAACAAAAATGTGTACGTGAAACATAAGAATTTTTTATTATTTTATTTTAGATTATTTTTAATCTCAGGAAATAAATAATTCTTCACGTTTAATTTATTTTTTACAAATCTTTTATTTAACTTGCTTCTCTTGTCTGTTTTTTTTTTGTCTTGCGTCATGGATCGAAACTGGCGAGCGAAATTTCGACCACTTCAACCGACCAATTTCTCTGAAACTTGGCACGTGGGTTAAGACCCGATGACAATGTAATCTGACACAAAATTTGACTTGGATGCTTAATTATTTTCTTTTAAGAATTAATTAAAATTTCTACACAAATTACTATTTACCTCGCTATTATACGCACATTGTTCGTGTTCATTTGCTGCGCAAGTGTTTCAAGCTTTCGCCCAACACAGCAAGGCGGGCTCAGGGGCGTCCTTTGAACTTGATCCCGGAAGGTGAACACGAGACTTTCGGGCTAGGGGTAGTTTACTCTACCGCCAGACTATGTTGTCAATTCGCCTCTACTAGCAACAAAATAAAATTTCACTACGTACTATCGGATTTGTTGCTAGTGCGAATTACCGTTTTATTTTAATTTTATTTTATATTTCGTAGTTTTTGTTTGTTGTTGTTTTTTTTTTTTTGCTAGTTTTTTTTTTATTTTAAGCATCACAATTTTTTAAATAATGTCCCTCCTCCCTCCCTCCCCTCCCACGTTTATTCCCCAGGTATTGCCACCCTCCTGTGTTACCTGGAGCTACACCCGGACAGGTGGGTGGAGAACCAGAACCACGTGTACGGCAGCTGCTCCATCCGGTGCTACGGCGGTGCCAGACAGCTGCAGACTCTGGCCAAGAAGGTGAGAACCCTCGGGTGGTGAGTCGTGTGGGGGGGGGGGGCTGGTGGTGTGTTAAGGTCCATGGACATGGGACTCAGATTTGGTTGGGTAAGAGTATTAGTAAATGTTGGCTCTGTGTTGGTTTTCTTTGACTGGTTCTGATTGGATTAGATTGAATTTGATCGGTTTGAACTGGTTTTGATTGGATTTGATTGGTTGTGATTGGATTGGACTAGTTTTGATTGGATTATATTGGTTGTAATCTCTCGAATAGGTTGTATTGAACTTCGGGTTACTTTGCTAGGGATTTAACTCCATTCAACAATCCAAAGTCAATTAGCCTCCCCTTTCGTCCCTAAATATAACGTTGCCTGGACAACACCATCGTGCATACAACCAAACGACCACCACTTAACAATCCAACTTCAGCAAACTACTTTTTGTAACCTTTGTGGTCTAATTTATTTATTTATTTCGCAACGACTAAGTCACTTTGTTTTTTTTTTATCCTACAAGTAGCGACGTGGTATGACGTCGATTATTCAAATCGCGGTTTATAAATTGACCTTTTTAATTAGCCATCGGTGAGAAACGTATCTCTGTTACGTATTCTATTAATTATAGATGCCTCGGGGTGTTTTTTGTTTGTTGGTTGTTGTTTTGTTGTGTTTTTTATTTTGCTCTTCGTTAGCGAGACTGCTAAACACATCCGGTCATGCGCAGAGCTCCAAAGGTCTGATGACACACAACACCCCGCCTGCCTCCACTTCTAGGCGAGATAACTCTATTCTCAGCTCACCTTTATAAATTTTCAACGCTTTTCAACGTTGAAGAATTTTTTCAATTAAAATTCATTTTACAAATTTGTAATTCAGCACCGAGAATAGACACACAACATTAAATATTTGTAATGATAAATTATATTAATAAAGAAACATAGATTAGAGGGATAGATAGATAGATAGATAGATAGATAGATAGATAGATAGATAGATAGATAGATAGATAGATAGATAGATAGATAGATAGATAGATAGATAGATAGATAGATAGATAGATAGATAGATAGATAGATAGATAGATAGATAGATAGATAGATAGATAGATAGATAGATAGATAGATAGATAGATAGATAGATAGATAGATAGATAGATAGATAGATAGATAGATAGATAGATAGATAGATAGATAGATAGATAAGATGACCCCAAGGTTAACCGAGTTAAAACCGAATGTTCAACAAAACTAGGAAGTTGATCATTGAAACGTTGTGTTGTCCAAAAAAAATATATCTCAAATTAGGTACCCCCCCCTCCCCTATTTTTCTTCAATTGGCTTACATCTCTGGTTATTTTAATTAATTTACAGCCGACATAAAACCCTGTTCTTACTGCAATTAATGCAGTTAATTGACGTTTGTTTCATTTTTCCTCCTCAGTGTCGAGTTTCAATTTCTCACAAAGTAATTTACTGCAGTAAGATAAAAATAAAAACCATTTAACATTCATAAAAAAGAAAATATTTCAAATTATTTCCGTAAGTTCATTTTGTTGTATTAGACATGTAACCCCCCCCCCCCCCCCACAGACACACACACTCACACACACATACACACCGGAATTTCTTCCAGGCATCTCTGTGGGTGGGCTACCCCAACCCCCCGAAGAAAGTCTACCGCCCCTTCCCCCCCCCCCCCCCTGAACTAAACGAAATGGATTTTATATAGAAAATATACACTTTTAACAGTCCGCCCCCCCCCCCCCCGAAATTTTAGTCCGCCCCCCCCCCCCCCCCCCCTCTTCTCCCGGAGAAAAAAGTCTGTGAAAGAAACACTGATACACACCCCAAACCCTGTACTACATCAAAATCAAAGATCCACCAAAAATAGAACGTCTGTCTCGACATTTATAGAAGGCCGATCAGCTCAACAGACAATTTCTAGATCTAGGACTAGATTTTTTTTAAAACTCAAATATCTGCAATATTTTTTTCTCTAAATATTTATTTAAACTCGAATATTTATTCACTGTGATGTCATCTACACGGTTGAACCCTTAAAAATGTTTTCCTCCAAATGTCAAATTAGATTTTAAAATATTTGATTTCACGCGGTCAGGCGTTCTGGAGTTTCGTATCGGGGAGTCCGGATGTTGCAAGGTTTACGTTGACGTCATTCAGACGATTGGGGTGTTTGAGACGGCTAGACAGTGGCGTCGCTAGGTGGGGTGCTATGGTGCGGTCGCCCCCCCCCCCGAATTGTGACGCAACTGGGTCCTTGAGACGGCTAGACAGTGGCGTCGCTAAGTGGGGTGGTATGGTGCGGTCCGTCGTCCCCCCCCCCCCCCGCATTGTGACGCAACTGGGTCCTTGAGACGGCTAGATAGTGGCGTCGCTAGGTGGGGTGGCATGGTGTGTTGTGACGCTACTGTGTCTTTGAGACGATTACAGTGGCGTCGATAAAAACATTCGAAGTCGAACATTAGAAATAGCCACTTCACTCCCACGTATACATATGAAATGTGGATTCACTTTTTGCCACCCCCCTCTTTAAAAATACAATTTACCTTCAACAGCACGGTGTTTTGTCTTAGTTTGGCTGGTTTTGATTATCAGCTCATCTTTTGTTATTTGACAGTCTCTTATATTTAACCTTGATAATTTAAACTACTGTTTAAATGTTGATAAATCAACCCTCTCTTTAAAATGGTGATAGTTTAACACCATCTTTCAATCTTGATAACCCTTGCAAAATCTTGATAGTTTAACCCTGTTTTTAGCTAGATAGTTTTACTCTGTCTATAAAATCTTGGGTTTAGCCCACACAATTTAAAAAAAAAATAGTGAGTTTAACCCTAAAGAAGTTTGAGTTTTACTCTGAAAACTTTTTAGTTTAACCCAAAAAAATCTTGTTTAACTTTAACCCAGAAAAATGTTGAGTATTACCCATAAAATGTTGAGTTTCATCCAGAAATATGTTGAGTTTAACAGAAAAATGTAGTTTAACCCAGAAAAATATTGGGTTTAACCCAGAAAAATATCTTGAGTTTAACCTAGAAAAATATTGAGTTTAACCCAGAAAAATATCTTGAGTTTAACCCAGAAAAAAATCTTGAGTTTAACCCAGAAAAATATCTTGAGTTTAACCCAGAAAAAATCTTGAGTTTAACCCAGAAAATATTGAGTTTAAGCCCGAAAAAATCTTGAGTTTAACCCAGAAAATCTTGAGTATGACCCAGAAAAAAAACTTGAGTTTAACCTAGAAAAATCTTGAGTTTAACCCAGAAAAATCTTGAGTTTAACCCTAAAAATTCTTGTGCATAACCCAGATAAATGTTGAGTTTAACCCAAAACATGTTGAGTTTAACCCAGAAAAAGATTGAGTTAAACCCACAAAAATCTTGAGTTTAACCCACAAAAATGTTGAGTTTAACCCAGAAAAATCTTGAGTTTAACCCACAAAATGTTTGTTTAACCCACAAAATGTTTGTTTAACCCACAAAATGTTTGTTTAACCCACAAAATGTTTGTTTAACCCACAAAATGTTTGTTTAACCCACAAAATGTTTGTTTAACCAACAAAATGTTTGTTTAACCCACAAAATGTTTGTTTAACCCACAAAATGTTTGTTTAACCCACAAAATGTTTGTTTAACCCACAAAATGTTTGTTTAACCCACAAAATCTTGAGTTTAACCCACAAAATCTTGAGTTAAACCCAGTCTTTGATCCCATCCAGTGCCCACCAGTAGCCGTGGCCATCGCCAAACAGAAACTTGACGGCAAGCAGTTCTCTGTCTCCAGTCAACTTGACTTCAAAGTCATCGATGTTTGTGACTCCATGGGCTGGGACTCTGGCACGGTCAAGCGGGAGCTCAAATCCCTCATGTGGGAATCAGGTCAGTGGGTCAAGTCGATTACTGTTTACATTATAGCCCCACGGGCGATGAGATTACTGTTTATATTACTGTCTTTGGGTCAATTTGATTTCCGTTTGCATTATAGTTGTAGAGACAAGTACTTGCGAGTTGACAGTTAAATACCAGAATTGGTATATTATTATTGTATGTATTTATTGTATATGAGAATGCGTGTCTGTAAGCTGTAAAGCGCTAGACTGATAACACGAAAGTCTTTAGTTCGAATCCATGTTCAAAGTCAGTATAACGTCCCTGTGTCCAGCCATCTTTGATGTTATATATATTTCTTCCCTACCCGCCTCTCTATATACAAATTTTCTGCAGTCGGTGATAAAGCCGCAGACTTCAATAAAATATAACCAAAATTATTTATCACATTTTTTATAAAGATTTCCCATATTCATCACAATTGTTACACGCAGTTAACGGAGCAATTCCGTCGAACATTTTATTAACATTCCCTATTCGCCTCACAGCTTTGGCGTGTGGGTAAGAAATTTATCTGGCGACTCCGGAAACTTGGACCGGCTTGGAGAAGATCTACGCCCACAGGGAGGGGCGGCAATTGAATATTTGATGCATCGATTTACTCGATAAGAAATTGATATTTTATGCTGAGAAAATAAAATTCCGGATGAGAACTCTCTTTTACAAGAAGATAAATTATCGCAGCAAGTCGCGGTCGTTGGCTTGTCGGTGGTTCTAAAAATGTTGATACTTCGGGGCAGAAAATGTGGAGTATGGAATAAATCTAAGGCGAATCGATACTGCTTTGAGATGTAGACATTTGCATGCCCGTTTCTTTATGGGTTCCTGGTCATGTTATGCAATATCCGTAATAGAGCTGGGGCATACGTCCCTGAGTTTACTCAGCCCTGATGAGTACCTTACTCTCATTAGGAAAAAAAAGGTGGCATGACATAGAGCATTACACATTATCCCGTAATACACCATAGCCGAAATAGGGTTGGGGCTTACGTCCCTAGGCGTAGCGACCCTTCACGGCGCCCAGGGACAAACTTTCGATCTCCACTCCCCCCCCCCCCCCAGACTTTCGATTTGCACCCCTCTTCAAGCTTTCAATTTATTTTTCCAACCCATTTTGGCACCCCCTAAGGTCTGCGCCCGGGGACATATGTCCCCCCCCCCCCCTCTCGAAATAGGTTGCTACGCCTCTGATGGGTACCTGACTCACGTTAGGGAAAGTAAAGGCGGCTTAACATAGAACTGAGCACACTATCCCGCAATACATTATACTCGTAATAGGGTGCCGGAATAGGTTGCTACGCTTCTGATGGGTTCCGAACTCACGTTAAGGAAAGTATAAGCGGCTGGGCATAGTACTGATCACACGATCCCTTCATATGCCGAGATCAGAAAAAAAACAGGTGAATTGTACCTCGCTGCCTCGTGGACCGTCAGGTTCGATAAAGGAACTCATAAAATAATACCTCGAAATCACACCAATGCTGAAATAAATCCGGGTTCAATTTTTTTTTTAAATCAAGCGATGTAATAATAAAGATGTAATACAGTGTTCTTTATGAGCAATTATGTTTTTTTTTTAAAGAGGCTTTGGAATCATATTGTCAGGAATAATTTGTATCAGTTGTGGTTTTTTTTTTTAGTATGCCGCTGTTGTTATTCTATTTCCGCTTTTTCTGTGTCTTCGTTTGTGGCAGCCATTTTTTTTAAGCAGGTAAAACAGCTAGTACATTTGTCCTTTATTAGAATCAAGTGTTTTTTATTTCTATCCCACGACATGATGGTATGATTTTTGCTCTAGATTCTATTTTAGTATTTTGTAAATAACATATGAGATTTAATTTAAAAAAACCATAGTAATGAAATTAATTAATCAAAGATTTAACTTGTGTAACACTATCTATATCATCCTTCTACTTAACTCAACTCAATGAAATAACATTTTTGAAATTACCTCTTTCGCATTACATAAATACTTTCCCTAAATTAAAATTATCTAAACTGTGTGATCAAATTTTTTTAAAAAATTTAGAATTATCTCCCATGCAAGTTTACTGGATATAAAATGCGTCAACACCGAGCAAAGATATAAGTTAATCCCTTCCCACTTCAGAACCTTAATTCCAGATTTGGCCCAAAACCTAATGACCTGCTGTTTAGTACATCGTCTTTCTCGTCCGTCGTATTATCTTCACCATCCAATAAATTTTTTAAAAATATTCTTTAAAACTGGTTCTAAACACGCAGCCATCATCGCCATAAATAGAACGTGTTCTCGTGACTATCAACTACTTCAGGGCATAGTGGGGTGGGTGGGGGAGGGGGTGGAGGGCTACAGACATGTATAACTTGAGAACCATCGAAATGTCTTCAGTCGTAATTACTAAGTCAAGACAAACAGGAGGGGTAATCAAAGACGGGAAGAGCTAGATACAGAATCGGGAAGATCCGGGTTTTTTTTTGGGGTGTTTTTGGTATTCCAAAGGCCGATTTGCGACTAGATTATATTTATAGAACGTCTGCCCAGTTGTTGTTTTTTTTTTTTTTGGGGGGGGGGGGGGGGGTCATCGTCTGGGGGTGATGTAATCTTAGCTTGAAGCGAGTGTGACGTTAAGCAATACTTTGAGTAGAGGGGGGCGAGGGCGTTTGTGAAAAGAAATTTTCTATATTTAGAAAAATGAAAAACTAAACCAATTTTTTCCAAGTTTTGTAATGTTGCTTTTCTTTTCTTTCTTTTAGCTCATTGATTACTGTATCTCTCCCTCACACTACCTTACTCACACCAATACACACAGAGACGATTACATACACTAATACACACAGAGGCGATTACATACACTAATACATACATATATAGGGTCGTCCATGAATGACGTCACACTAGTAGGGGGAGGGTGGTCCGTAATTTGATGATGATGTGCAGAGGCGTAGCGACCCCTCCCGGCGCCCGGGGACAAACTTTCGATTTGCGCCCCCCCCCCCCTCAAACTTTCAATTTGGCGCCCCCCCCCCCCTAAGGTCGGCGCCCGGGGACATATGTCCCCCCGCCCCCCCCCCCCCCCCCCCCCCCGGTTTCGGAGTGTCGACGTTACACTTTTCCATTATAAAAAAAAAAAGCCTTGTTAGAAAACTAATTTTAGACGTTATATTGGGTTTTAGAAAAACTCTTTTAATAAATAATATAGGAATTGATTAAAAGACTCTATATAGACAGAGTTCAGACAAGATTTTGGAAAAATATCGATGTTTCAAGAATAATTCAAATGCAATTTTTAGGTGGGTTGTAGGCTGATGTGTGACGGCATTTTAGGGGTGGGGGTCTCGCTTTTTGTGCCGACGTGTGACGAAGGGGAGGGAGGGGGAGGTAAAAATCGTAAAAAAAAAAAGCGTGACGTCATTTATGGATGACCTCTATACACACACGGACACAGACCCACCGCCGATGCACATCCTTTTCGAGCAGAATTGTCAATACCTCACAACCAACCTTGCTGCCTTTCAAACGGCCCCCTTCTGTTGCAACCCCACCCTACCCCCACACCCCATCCATCTCCACATCTTGCAACATACAAAACCTATTTTCCTCCACTCATACTGCACCCCACTTCACCACCCATATTTTACGCGTCATCACCTCCACGCATACTGCACCTCCTCCTCTCCCCCCCCCCACCCACATTTCTACGCCTCTGACGGCGCTCTCTCAGTCCTGTACGTACGCGCAAGGTTTTTTTTATATATCAGCTGCAGCCAGTGGTCGTCAAAGCAGCTTACGCTGGAGTATCTAGTGGCGTCACAAGGCGGTGAGCCCACACGGGGCAACACTATCAGCGGGCTTGGGGTGACACCAAAAGGAATGAATTAGCTAACTCTCATTAGAAATTGTGTTAGTCTTAGTTTTATTTTTAAAATATACGAGCCGACCCGCGGCGTATCATACGCCGCTATATAGTTGTTTTATTTTCTACTTTTCAGTAATTCATAATTTGTGAATTCGACAGTACCAATGCTGCCACTGAATATATTTGCTTTAAAACACTGTCAGTAGCTCGTTAAGGACGATAACCCCCCCCCCACCCCTCCTTCCCCCCCCCCCCCCCCCCCCGTGAAAGCATATGTAAACATTTAGCGTGAACCACAGCTCACCAGACCATGTGGGGGCGGGGTTGGTTGCGATATGCTTAGGGAGGAAGAGAGGGGACTGCTAGGCGCGCTTGCAGCTTGTTTTCTAACGTCTCCCAGAAGAGAATTATATATATAGATGTATACATATAGATAAGGCCTATATATTTCTATATTTCTATATTTATATTTTTAAATATATATATATATATATATATATATATATATATATATATATATATATATATATATATATATATATATATATATATATATATATATAATTATTTTTATATTTAGTCTTTGATACAGGGGTGACACTATCGTTAACAACACCGTATGTCACCCAACCTAGTGGCACTACTGAATCTAAACACTCCTTGTGATTTTTTTCACCCCCCCCCCCCTCCCCTCCTCGCACATTAACCAGATCCAGTAGCGTATGCAGGGGGGGGGAGCAGTCTTTCTCCCTACGACCATTTTAAGGATAGTGGCGTCTTTTTCGGTGAATAATTAAGTAAAAAAAAAATTAAAATTCCTGAAAACACAAAAAAAAAAAAATCAACAACAGCAAACACAACCTGAAACTATGAATCAAAGGATTCAAAACTGTCATGTTATGTACTCTAAATATCAAATTTTTGATAACTCATCGCAAGTGTTTGTACAGCATACTTCTTGGCTTACTTATCACATGTTTAATAACTCATCGCAAGTACATGTACAGCCTACTTCTTAGCTTACTTATCACATGTTTAATAACTCATCGCAAGTATATGTACAGCCTACTTCTTGGCTTACTTATCACATGTGTAATAACTCATCGCAAGTATATGTACAGCCTACTTCTTAGCTTACTTATCACATGTTTAATAACTCATCGCAAGTATATGTACAGCCTACTTCTTGGCTTACTTATCACATGTGTAATAACTCATCGCAAGTATATGTACAGCCTACTTCTTGGCTTACTTACCACATGTTTAATAACTCATCGCAAGTATATGTACTGTCTACTTCTTGGCTTACTTATCACATGTTTAATAACTCATCGCAAGTATATGTACAGTTTACTTCTTGGCTTTCTTATCACATGTTTAATAACTTATCGCAAGTATATGTACAGCCTACTGCTTGGCTTACTTATCACATGTTTAATAACTCATCGCAAGTATATGTACAGCCTACTTCTTGGCTTACTTATCACATTTTTAATAACTCATCGCAAGTATATGTACAGTCTACTTCTTGGCTTACAAATTGGCACCTAGCTCAGCGCCAGGCATGTGCGAGGCACTTATTTGCCACATTGCCTGTTCACTTTAGCGCATGTACATCTGTGGTTTGTGTTATCCCTGTTGTATATAGAACGTCAACCACATACAGATTGATCTTAACTCACAAGTGTAGTCTTTGCTTGAGTTGTCAGGCTAAATTCAGCCATCCTTTTTTTATACGGGAGGCCTATTATCTCTAGGTTATTGTTTGTTTACCTAAAGCAGTAGCGTAACGGGGGGGGGGGGGGACATATGTCCCCGGGCGCCGACCTTAGGGGGCGCCAAAATGGGTTGGAAAAATAAATTGAAAGGTCAAGGGGGGTGCAAATCGAAAGTTTGAGGGGGGGTGCAAATCGAAATCTTGAGGGGGGGTGCAAATCGAAATCTTGAGGAGGGTGGGGTGCAAATCGAAAAGTTTGTCCCCGGGCGCCGGGAAGGGTCGCTACGCCTCTGACCTAAAGTGTGCCCCGTAGAATACGAATATCTTTGTTATGTTAATACTAGCAGGAAAGGAAACGCCAGGTCCCTTGCTGTCAGCTGATCTAGAATATTCTCCAAAGGCACCTTATACAGATGCATACATTTTTAGATGGATGGTGTTAAAAACTCAAGGCAAATATATGTGGGAGGGGAGGAAGCTGAATAAATGTACAGAAAAATTAACATTCTCACACATCTTCAAGAATGTTAGTATAGGTCAAGACTATCGGCACGGATATATGTCCTTAACGAACACATACTTTAATATATCGGGTAAATTTAGATAAAACAATATAAAAACACTGTGGATAAGAGAATAGCTGCCTCCAACTATAGTTGTTTATTTTACATAGTCAGAATCATAGCTTTTGAAACCGGTCAAACTGTGTGAATCATGTTTTTTTTTTTAGTTACCAGTAAAGAATTCGTGAGCGATAAAGTGATCAAACCCATACATTATCATTATATTGAAAAATAATTTTCAAAGAACACAAAAAGCAGTACCTGAAATGCAAAACTAATTATCCAGTTTTTTAATTTTTTTTTTTTTTTAATCTGTTTTTTTTTTTTTTTTTTTTTTTTTTTTTTTTTTTTTTTAACATTTTATTATTCTTTATTTCATGTTTTGCTTTATGTACAATATTTTATTTTTAAGCTTTTTTTTTCAAAAAAACAAAAGAACATCATTAAGTTGTAAAGATTGGTATTACATGAAGTAAGGGACTTCACTATGTATATTAACATATAGTAACTGTCTTTCATATCTGATTGCATGCACTCAATGTACGTCTGTAGTAGACTCTATATATATTTGAAAAAATAAATTGAAACAAGCTGACAGTAAAAAAGAGGAAGATTGTGACAGCTTTTGAAGCCATTCATTTGATTACTGAAAAAAATTGAGAGCATTACTAGATTAATTTCACTAATGATTTGTTTAAATTAAATGATTAAAAATGTAATAAATATATTTTATAATTTCCATGTGCAATGTTTTTACCATAGTATTTTTCATTGATAACAATGTCATAATTATACTTCTCATTTAGCTACATTTAAGCTATGAAGTTATTTTTTTTTTATTTTTTATTTTTTTTTTTTTCCATTATAACAAAACGTTTACATTTTTAATTGACTACTTCTTTCCCTTCTGAACTGTGAAAGTGTACTCTTTTACCTTATGGCTTTCTCTCGCCCTTTCTTTCTGAGACAAGAGATTTGAATGGTGAGCTAGTACGTGATGATGAATGCTTTTTTCTGGGAGGTTTTTATCACAAAAGCAGCAACTGAAGTTGGTTTCGCTGTTGTGTTTTTCCGTGTAGTGTCGATGTAAGTCATTGTGAATTTTTGCATCATTACAGAAGTTGCATTGTTTGAGATAAGTGTGTTCTGTTCTTTCGTGATTTAGTACTTCCTTAACTGTTTGGTACGAGCTGGGGCAGAAGCTGCATGTTAGGTGATCGTGGATTAGTTTCTCGATTTTTTTGGATTTAGTTATTTTTTCTTGTTCTGTGGGACTCGTTTGATATTTCCTTTTTGTTGACGAGGCGGTTTCTATTTCTGAATCCGGGTCTGTTGCTTCTGTCTCTGGGTCTTTTGCTGCGTCCTTGGTTGGATGGTTTTGGATTTTGCTTGATGATGGACCTTGTGGTGCAGTATTTTGCGCTGAAGATTGGTCCTTGGGCTTTAACTCTGGGTTGAAAGCTTGGCATTGGTTGGTCCAAAAAAGAACATAAACGGAATTACTCATTACAATTACTTTAGCGATTTACGATTTTATATCAACTCCTCTGTTACAAACTTTATTATCCTGTATGGTTTTAGCATTCATAATAAAAGTATAATTAATTCTAATTATAGGCAGCATTTGTTTTAAAAAACGAATAACAATGAAATATTATATTGAATAGTAAATAAATTAATGATCTGGTTAGTTTTGACACACAATCAATCGTGTATGCCTTTACATATCTATATTAAGAGAGTGATTATTTCCCTTACTTTAATTCGCTTGTCGTATAAATATTTTACTATGTTAGATGTTTTTACAAGGTTTACAAAAGAGATTGTGTTTCGTTTATTGTTTTTTGTTGTATTGTTTGTTTATATATATATATATATATATATATATATATATATATATATATATATATATATATATATATATATATATATATATATATATATATATATATATATATATATATATATATATATATATATATATATATATATATATATATATGGCGCTTTTTTCTCGACTCGCCGCTCCCCTATACGCCTCTGACCAGAGCATTTACTAGATAGAGATCTTCCTACAGATTAATAATTATATAGGGGAAAAATTGTAATCCCCAATTAGCACCCCCATAAAATCTCCACGCCAGCGTTCAAATTCCGATACCACAACGTTATGTTTAGACTGTTAGTTGCGACGCTTTCTGTATAAAATAGCGGCATCCAGGCAAAAAATAACAAATGTATATTGGCTGAACTGCGTTCCATTCTATTTTATTCAAACGGGCGGAAGGAATCGCATATAAAAAAGCATTTCTTGAATGTGATGCTGGTATTTTTGTCTCTTATCTGGTGCGACCCACATCGCTGCTGCTACGCTACTGGCTACTCTACTAATGGTAGAGTCATGGTTATTATAAGATGTCTAATGTAGTGTGTCAAGCCCTAAAACAGGATTTCTTTCAGATTTTGAGGGGGGTGGGGGACTATTTTTAAAGTATATATTTCCTACAAATTTAAAGAATAGTTGTTACGATTCAACCGACAATTATGTAGTAATTTTAAATGAAGTAGAGCAGTTGGAGTGCGCTAGCGGTAGAGAGCTAGACTGCTAACCCGTAAGTTCGAATCCGGGTTCAAGTCAGTTGACCGTCCCTGAGTTCACCCAGCTTTGGTGGGTACCTGACTCACGTTAGGAAAAGTAAACACGGCTGGGCATAGTGCTGATCCCACTATCCCTTTCCTCATGCCGAGGTCACAGAAACAGGTGAACTCTACTTCATTTGCCCCATATATCGTCACGTTTGGAAGGGGAATTTTACTTTACTTTTAGAGCAGTTTATTTTAGTAACTACTGGAGGCCTTTATCAAACTGTTGACGTGAAGCTAAGAAGGATACACAAAACATCGACAACAAACTTTTCCGAATTTATTTATTTTTAAATTCATTCACAGGTCCAGACGGCTTCCGAAAAACTGGAGTACTCGTGGAGTTATCGGACTTGTCCTTCCACTTCCGGTCACGTGGGGACCTGACCTCGCAGGAGATGGACGACGTCCTTGACTTTCTCGCCCAGCGGACCCAGCACCAGGAGAGGGCCGAGCTGCGTCAGCTGGAGATGTTGTCGTCTGCTCTTAGAAGGTGGCTCGTTTTTTTTTTTTAGTTGTGTTATCTCCCTGTATTCATTGTAGACTCGGGGGAGGGGAGGAGGGGGTGAAGGGGATTTGGATTATTTTAAAAAAACTGACTAGTAGGTTTGTTTGAAAAATAGCTTTTAAAAAGGTGTATATATATATATATATATATATATATATATATATATATATATATATATATATATATATATATATATATACTTCCATCTGTTCATCTATCACAACCTCAATCCACCCATCATAACATACATCCATCCATCCACCCATCATAACATACATCCACCCATTTACCATCATAACATACATCCTTACACACATCACAATATCCATCCACCCATCCATCACAGCATACAACCACCCACCCATCACACTATCCATCCACCCATCACAATCCCATCCATTCACCCATCACAATCCCATCCATCCACCCATCACACTATCCATTCACCCATCACAATCCCATCCATCCACCCATCACACTATCCATCCACCCATCACACTATCCATCCATCCATCACAATCCCATACATTCACCCATCACAATCCAATCCATCCACACATCACACTATCCATCCATCACACTATCCATCCATCCATCACAATCCCATCCATCCACCCATCACAATCCCGTCCATCCACCCATCACAATCCCATCCATCACAATCACATCATTCCACCCATCACAACATCCATCCACACATCCATCCATCACAATCCAATCCTTCCACCCATCACACTGTCCATCCACCCATCACAATCCCATACATCCACCCATCACAATTCCATCCATCCATCCACCCACCCATCACAATCCCATACATCCACCCATCACTATCCCATCCAACCTTCCACCCATCACAAAACCTGCTGTCCACAGAAACCGAATTTCCTGACACAAACACTAGGGTCGTGTGTACCCAAGATAAAACGTTTCACCTCCCCTTGTTAGCCCAGTTTTTTTCCCCTTCTTGCTTCTCTTTGTTTGTGCAAGTCTAGAGTTATTTCCCCGTAAAGCTAAGGTTTATCCTCTAACGCTCGTGTTGATACAAGCTCTGGGCTCATTAACGTTGTTGGGGGATTCGTGAGGCTTTGGAGTTTGTATATCACTGTGGTCGGTATAAGCATTTATGTGTTTGAATATTTTATTTTTTAGTTTTCAATCGGATTTTAATATGGTGGTTGACACAATATTTTTATAAATTATTTAATATCGATTATAACCGTCGCTTTAGGTTCGGTGTCTGTCTGTAAAGCTCTAGATCGCTAAATTGAAAAATCCCAAGTTCGAACCGCCGGGCAGATGAGGCTCGATAACTATGTACGGCAATCCTTCTAAGAGAGACAACTCCAAAATAAAACAACTTCTGCCTTGTAGTTTGTTCTTGGTTGGACAAAGGCTATAGAAGTAAATCCAAAAAGAAAAAGAGGCTGAAATCAGAGTCAACGGCCCATATCCCATATGGTACATAACGAGTTGACATGTAATACTTAATTAATTGTGTTTGAGGGCATGTCGTCCAACATTATAATTAATTAATTAATTAAGATGAAGAGGGAAAAAGAATCGTTACTCTCTCCATTTTACGAAAAGAAAAAGCAATCCTGATAGACGTACCATTTTCACTATATTGTGAGAAACATACTCTTAACTTAAGAATTGAATACCAAAACCATTTTTCATTAAACTTCATAGACCTCAGATACTTAGATAACTTTGTGATCCATATCTACCACTGACGGTAATTTTTTTTTGGGGGGGGGGGGGGGTATACGGGCCTAAAAACTTATAACTGCGTTTGTATCTTCCCACATTGGCCTAGCGCCATGAACTGTTATAGCATAAACAAAAGCTCCTTCTGTGTCAATACAAATACAGTGTACGTTACTTTACCCAACAATATCTCCAAACTTTCTGTTGTTTTGTTTTTGTTTTGTTTTACCCAACAATTTCTCCAAACTTTCTGTTATTTTGCTTTGTTTTACACTTGGGTATAAATATGTGAACTTAACTTTGAAACTGACTTTTATGACTCGTGAGTTCTATCACGAAGTATCATGTTTATCTCCGGTAATTAGACAGTCACTCAATAAATAATAGAGTCGCTATCAATTTACACGGGATGTGTAGTATTCAGTACTAGGTCAGACTGACATAAGACACTGTGCTTGATTGAGTGAGGGGTTGAGTTCTCATGAAGCATTTAATATTTAAGAGATTGATTTATATTTCAATAAACTATAGGTTCATTTTTTCTATATTCAAGATTGTATTGACATTTTTACATAAAAATGTTTGCTGCGTATTCTGATATTTGACGCACGGTGATTATTAAATGACTCACCTTTTTTTCCTTACATTTCAATTAAAACTGGTTTGTTTAAATAATGCTTTTTTAATTAAAAACCAAGCATCGCCGCCTGTCTTTAGTATTTATATTTCTGATGTTGTTTTTAGTTTAATCGTCTAGGGCTGTTTCCGCGATACTCATTAAAACTAACTAAATTAAGTGCAAATCAAAAAGGCTTTCGCTACTATTTTTATTTAGTTATATTTTACTGTTAGTGTGGGCGAGGCTGTAAATAAAAGGCAGGATTATTGTATTGACGCGTTATATATATATATATATATATATATATATATATAGAGAGAGAGAGAGAGAGAGAGAGAGAGAGAGAGAGAGAGAGATAGATAGATAGATAGATAGATAGATAGATAGATAGATAGATAGATAGATAGATAGATAGATAGATAGATAGATAGATAGATAGATATATATAGATATATATAGATATATATATATATAGATATATATATATATATATATATATATATATATATATATATATATAGATAGATAGATAGATAGATAGATAGATAGATAGATAGATAGATAGATAGATAGATAGATAGATAGATAGATAGATAGATAGATAGATAGATAGATAGATAGATAGATAGATAGATAGATAGATAGATAGATAGATAGATAGATAGATAGATAGATAGATAGATAGATAGATAGATAGATAGATAGATAGATAGATAGATAGATAGATAGATAGATAGATAGATAGATAGATAGATAGATAGATAGATAGATAGATAGATAGATAGATAGATAGATAGATAGATAGATAGATAGATAGATAGATAGATAGATAGATAGATAGATAGATAGATAGATAGATAGATAGATAGATAGATAGATAGATAGATAGATAGATAGATAGATAGATATAGATATATATAGATATATATATATATATAGATATATATATATATATATATATATATATATATATATATATATATATAGATAGATAGATAGATAGATAGATAGATAGATAGATAGATAGATAGATAGATAGATAGATAGATAGATAGATAGATAGATAGATAGATAGATAGATAGATAGATAGATAGATAGATAGATAGATAGATAGATAGATAGATAGATAGATAGATAGATAGATAGATAGATAGATAGATAGATAGATAGATAGATAGATAGATAGATAGATAGATAGATAGATAGATAGATAGATAGATAGATAGATAGATAGATAGATAGATAGATAGATAGATAGATAGATAGATAGATAGATAGATAGATAGATAGATAGATAGATAGATAGATAGATAGATAGATAGATAGATAGATAGATAGATAGATAGATATAGATATATATATAGATAGATATATATATATATATGTGTGTGTGTATGTGTGTGTGTATGTGTGCGTGCGTGCGTGTGTTATGGGGGAATATTACCCCGATCCAGCTACGACCATACAACAAAAAATACAACTACCAAAAAAACAAGCAAACTGTAACAACCAATAAAATAACCAGCCAACATATATATATATATATATATATATATATATATATATATATATATATATATATATATATATATATATATATATATATATATATATATATATATATATAATTCGCCTATATGTCGAATCCAGAGCTAGAGGTATGGGTACCTGTTTTAGTGCGTAATTACTTTCATCGTTTAGCAATAGTTTAGCTTGCAATTGTAAACGTGTTTTCTAGATGTTTGCTTCTACATATTCATCGAATATACCCAGGTGCGATACCCGTTAGTTGTATGTAGGTCTTACTATTTTCATCTTTTTTTTTGCCCCATTAAAAGCTTGTTAATATAAACGTTTTAAAACATTAGTTACTACATTACCTGGGCATCTCTCCGGGGGTGCCCCTCCCCCTCTTCCCCCAGGAAAAATAGAGAAAACTTTATTATTTTATAATTTATATAAACTTATAAACTTAAAGTAATGTGTCCCCTACGTTAGTTTCAACCCCCCCCCCCTACTCGCAAAGCGAAAACAAATTTGAAAGAAACCCTACCTCATGAATAAAACCATGTATCTCCCCCCCCCCCCCCTCCAATCATTAACCCCTGTATTCCCTCCCACTATTCCTGTGAAATCCCCCAACACTAACCCCTGTATTTCCCCCCCCCCATTATTCCTGTTAAATCCCCTAACACTAACCCATGTATTCCCTCCCAATATTCCTGTTAAATCCCCTAACACTAACCCATGTATTCCCTCCCAATATTCCTGTTAAATCCCCTAACACTAACCCATGTATTCCCTCCCAATATTCCTGTTAAATCCCCTAACACTAACCCATGTATTCCCTCCCAATATTCCTGTTAAATCCCCTAACACTAACCCATGTATTCCCTCCCAATATTCCTGTTAAATCCCCCAACACTAACCCCTGTATTCCCTCCCAATATACCTGTTAAATCCCCCAACACTAACCCCTGTATTCCCTCCCAATATTCCTGTTAAATCCCCCAACACTAACCCCTGTATTCCCTCCCAATATTCCTGTTAAATCCCCCAACACTAACCCCTGTATTCCCTCCCAATATTCCTGTTAAATCACCCAACACTAACCCCTGTATTCCCTCCCAATATTCCTGTTAAATCCCCCAACACTAACCCCTGTATTCCCTCCCAATATTCCTGTTAAATCACCCAACACTAACCCCTGTATTCCCTCCCAATATTCCTGTTAAATCACCCAACACTAACCCCTGTATTCCCTCCCAATATTCCTGTTAAATCCCCCAACACTAACCCCTGTATTCCCTCCCAATATTCCTGTTAAATCACCCAACACTAACCCCTGTATTCCCTCCCAATATTCCTGTTAAATCACCCAACACTAACCCCTGTATTCCCTCCCAATATTCCTGTTAAATCCCCCAACACTAACCCCTGTATTCCCTCCCAATATTCCTGTTAAATCACCCAACACTAACCCCTGTATTCCCTCCCAATATTCCTGTTAAATCACCCAACACTAACCCCTGTATTCCCTCCCAATATTCCTGTTAAATCCCCTAACACTAACCCCCGAGTGCTCTGTTGCTGTCGTCCATCTAGCGTGTCCCACAAAAACTACTGGATGTGTAGCGAGGAGCCTGACCTAGAGAGGAGCGACAAGCTGAAGCGACAGCTGGAGGAGTTCTTTGACCGTGACGACAGGGACTACGGGCAGGACGAGACGGAGCCTCAGGTTAGTGAACTCTAGCTAGCTTGTGCATTGGTCGTCTGCATGTCTTTTTTTTTTTTTTTTTTTTTTTTTTTTTTTGGATTCTGCTAATATTTTTATCTTCTTTTGTCGGTTTAAGAGATATTACAATTTCATTAAGAATTTAATAACTTTTAAATGTTATATTTAAGGGGGGGGGGGGGGATATTAATATTTAATTAATTTTAATTAATATTTAATAACTTTAAAATGCTATCAGCTTTTGGGGTAGGTAAAATAACCCTTTTTTTAACCTGGCGGTACATGGGTGCAGGTGAAGTAGAGTTGATCTATTTCAGACCCCTTCCTATAACCCCCTAATGCTACTCCCTCCCGAGCCACCTAACCCCTGACCTTACTTTACCCTTCATCTTACTCGACCCTTCCTACTATTACTTCGTTACAACTCTCCCCAGCTGCCCCCCCCCCCCAGCCTGAACCTTACTTGACCCCTTCCTAAAAGTCCTAATACTACTCCCCACCCCGAACAACCCTTACACTGACCTTACTTGACCCCCTGACCTTACTTAACCCCATCCTATCACTACCCTCCCCAGCTGGACCCATCTAGCCTGAACCAGCTGACCTCTGACCTCCGGCACTTCATCTCCCTGTACGGCCAGGAGCACACCCTGACGGGACGGGCCATCGCCCGGATCTTCCACGGCATCGGGAGCCCGTGCTTCCCGGCCGAGACCTGGGGCAGGGTCCGGCGGTTCTGGCGGTGCCACCTGGACCTGGACTTCAAGGCCATCATACGAGAGGCCACGAGGATGCTGGTCAGCCTAAGGTGACCACGTCTGATTGTTACCTGTTCATGTCATTCGGGTAATTTGTTGATTATGTCATTCCGGTAATTTGTTGAATTCAACGAATGTTTACAGGCGAATAATGTGTCAGGTTGAAATAATTACATTAGGAAATGTTTAGGGTGAGGGGAGGTGACGTAGCTGTTTATAGTTTACATTATATAGATTCGTTTTATTTTGAACAAAAAAATTTGAACTGGATTTGCAGAATTATTTTAATAAATGTGATTTTTTTAAAATTAACTTGTAGAGTAGATTTTGGGCATTTTTTTTTTATTATTATTATTTTTTATTTTTTTTTGCGACAAGTTTAATTTTAGCTTAGACAAAAGATCGTCATAGAAAATTTAAACCAGTTGACCAATGTCTCACTAATAATTACCATTCCCTGAGTGAAAATGGGAGTAAGGGAGACAATAATTAAATTTAATGTAAATAAAATTACACTTTCTTGTTACTTCCCCTCATTTCCTTCGTTAATGTAACTTGCTCTGCAAAGGGAATAAAATATTTTTTTTAAATTGACTGTTTTTTTGTGTTGTTTTTGTAGTTTAATCTGATGATGCTCAAGCTTCTGTCCCCTACAGAAGTCAATCTAAACCTTAGTTTTTACCCGATATCTTCAGGTTTAAATTATAATACAAGCACAAACAAATTGTAAAGATCCGCTGCAAAAATATCAAAGAAAAATATGGCAAGTAACCTGACCAGTGTGAAAACCCACATTTTCATTAAAAACTTAATAAATGACATTTTTTTTTTAGATTTGAACAGTAAGTTTTGAGTTTTCTACCATCTATAACAGTAAAACATTCATCAAGTCAAATTCACCTGGAGCTAACCAAAATACTTTCAAGTTTTCCATGTCATTAAAAAACAACTCAACAACGGAAGTATTGCATCAACAATATTGTTCATATTTTAATCATTTCAAAAAATAAAAAACAATAGCAACAACAAATCATTGGAACAGTTTTGGGTCAAAGGTGCTTCCAAAGACAAGACTCCAAGATGTTGGCACATTCCATAGTTGATCTTTTTTCTCACTCTGAAAACATGTAGGGAAAATGGATATTAATGTACAAACCCATGTTTTGTTTTATATAACGGAAATATTACTTATCTTTTTAAGAAACAAAGCAAAATGAGAATAACATTTTGTTTCATTTTACTGCAAAATTAAGTTAAATGTAAAGGTGCGAACCCATATCTTGTTTTTATTCAAGCCTTAAAGCGCGCCAAGCCACAATCGTGGCTTTGCTGTTACATAACTTATAACATGTAAGGCCACGTGGCCCATGCTTTAAGGGTTAACAGAAATATAAAGATGTAAAAGCAAACTTAGAATAACATTTCCAATCCCTTATAAAATTCAAGCATCAGAAGACTAAAAACAGCAGTTACCTTAACAAATCCCAGCCATTTGTTCAGATGGTCTGTCATGTTTATAGCATCTTGTGCATTGTCCCCCTCAGAAACAAACATCAACAACACTAATACAGGCAATTCCTGACTGTAAAGATATTTTTAAACATACATATAAATAATAGAATTTTAATCAAAAGTACTAAATTTTTCTTTACATTAAAAAAATAAATGCTTTTAAAAATATGTCTTCGAGAAAAAATATTTTTAAAGATAGTTAACAACAATTTAACATTTATAGTGCTTTTAAGATTTCATTAGAAATACCATTTTTACAATGCTTTTAAAATATTTTTTTGGGAAATGTATTTTTAAGATTTTTAAAATTGTGTTAATATTTTTATTTTTAGAGAAAAAGTTTTAACGTTTATAAAATTCCACTGCGCACTTTACGTTCGCTTCCACAATTTTATAAAACACAAACACTCACCGATGTTTTAAAACAAACACTAACCAATGTTTTAAACACAAACACTCACCAATGTTGAAAAACACAAACACTCACCGATGTTTTAAAACACAAACACTCACCAGCTCTCAAACAGATGTTTAGAGATCCCTGAGCCAGGCATGTATAAAAGTTTTGTATCCCCGTCACTAGAGTCACGTTGATTGGAGCTGGGAGCAGGAAACGAGTGTCTGAGCTCAAGTTCTTTCCAGCCTAGGTCACTCTTTAACAACGCCCCACAGCGCTCTTCTGTCTTAGGGGACTGGAGTATTCGGAAGGGAGAACTGTACAAATGGACATCATTCGAAATGAATACTCAGCATTTTAAAGGACAAATATAGATGTTTAAAAGATGTATTTGAATTAACTATTTATTTTAAATTTTAATTAGTTATTGGATAGTCAAGCAGACATTTTAAAAAATGTATTTAAATTAGTTATAGGATAGTACTACTGCTGACATTTTCTTAGAAATTTTTAACTAGCTATTTGGATAGTAAAGTAGATATTTAAAAGTGTATTAGCATTAGCTATTGAATAGTACTTTAGCAAGAAACCACACAGAAGTTATCTATAAAAGCACACAAAAAAAGAATACTAAAACAACTATTGAGGCAAAATACTGTTTCCTAAAACAGTACTTCATGCAAATGATCCCTGACTATTGAGGCCAAATACTAATGTTTCCTAAAACAGTAGTTCATGCAAATGATCCCTAACTATTGAGGCCAAATACTAATGTTTCCTAAAACAGTGCTTCATGCAAATGATCTCTAACTATGATTCTGCTCCCTCTTGTATTTAGTGTGAAATCTAGCCAAGATGTTTTTGAATGTTATTTCCCTAAATGTAGATATAAGAAAACTTAAAATTACCCTAAAAACATCACCACTAATCAGCAGGAATATCTTCTTGGTGTTGTCTGTTTTACTTTTTGAAATCCCAGACATTTTGAAAGAAAGAGTAAAACTTACCCTGTCAACTGGTGGTCTAATCTCTCATGAGCAAAACTACTGGTCAGGATGACAACTTGATGGAACTGTTGCTCTTTGATCCAGTTGGTCAGCCACTCCACATATTCTTTTCTTCTACCCTTGGAACATAGTGAGGAAATAAATTCAATGAATGATTCAAACAAATTTGTAAAAAAAAACGCAATTTTGTTTATTCATAAAACAGAAAATGATATAATTATAATAAAATCTGATGCGTTTTTATAAATATTTGAGAGAAGTTTTGCATGAATTGAATATATGGGCATCTTGACACCAAATATATTTTGGTATGATTAGATAGACTTGAGAAATACCTTTATGAATGGGGCTCTCTGTTGTACAACTACCAGCCTTGATTCTTCACTTTCATAAACTGTAAAAATAATCAGACATTTTTAACACATGTATCTTCAAGTTTGCAATCATCAATATTGATGATAAACTAAAGTATGAAAGCTAGTCTAGTCTTTTGATGGCCTTGATGTGCTAGGAGCTGTATGGGCTATAGCAAGACCCACCCATCCTTACTTCCCCCCCACTCACATCAGAGTTGAATGGACTAAGTAATGCAAAATTTTAAGCAGAGGACAATGTCTATGAAAGGTTTTCATGTTTATATAGGCCTATTAAGCTTAATTTTAATCATTTCTTGTCCTGCTGTCTACCTCCCCACCCCAACCCCATTTAATATTATTTAAATTGCAACAGAGCTTTTATTTTCAGAATTGTATGTAGGCCTATAGATTTTCAAACCATTATGCAACCAGACAGCTAAAAAGATTGATATTAAGTTTTTAGCACATTATATAAAACATGAGCAAACTAGCTGTAGACAAACAAACAATGAAATTTACCTTCACAGCAGGTTGTTATCTGGCATGATGTAGAGTTTTCTGGGGCGTAAGGATTGTTGCCAACACAGGGTAGTAGACTAGGGTGTAAAATATAACCTACACGCTCCATAGACAGTGTAGACACAATAAGATCAGCCGACAGCTGACCTACATTTCCCACTGAAACTGTAGGCTATAAGTGGGGTATTTATAAAAGAAAATATATGTATTATGATGCTATAAATATAATTATTGGGCCTACATCTACACTATAATAATAATAAATTAGTTGAGTCTGAGTCATTGATACTTTGGTATACCGAAACCTTATAAAACAGAGGGCTTCCATTTTAATGTAAGGTACAAGGCGACAATGGCTTATAATGATTACGAATCCTTTACCTAATAGGCTAATAGTCAACTAATAGACCTAGATCTAGTAGAAAGTGCAGTAGTTACTAGTTAAGTAAAGTAGTATTAGTAGTAAGTACTAAGTAATAACGGTAATCTATCGTTTTAGGTACGTAAAATCGCCCGGGGCTAGTAATGTACGAAAAAGTTACCTCATTGTCAAGGCTTTAATAGAAGTATATTGTGATAAATTTGTGTCCAATATTATATATAAATGAATAATAAACTTAAATCAATGGCTAAATAGTAAATATATTAATATTATAGGCAAGAAATTAACTTTAAACAGCAGTGTTTGCGAGCAGGATTTGCTATATAAAAAGCAGCCAACTGTAAGTTAGAGTGGCGTCCCCTGAATCTTGCGCTATAAGTTTACAATTAAAAAAATAAATAAACAAGATGGCTGCTATAGTAAATGAGCATGGTTGCATCAGTTGGAAACATTGCTAGAGCTAGTCTTCATTTATTACTGAAAAGTTTCAATTCAGCTGTTTAAAAACAGGTACATAAATGAAACAAGGAAACATTTTTGTGGTAATCCCTTAGTTTAGCGTCGGAAATTATCGGGTAATGTTTGTTGAGTCTCGGCAACTAGAGTTACGGTAAACCATGGTTTATTTGACCATTGAAAATTGAAATATAAATAAATTGAAAGTCGATTGTAGTAAATTAATGTTTTAATTTTTTAAGTTTAATCGACAAAAGGAAACAAGAATAAATATAATAGTAGATTTAAATTAGTAGATCTAAAAATACAAAAAACATATATTAATATAAATAATGAAGTCAAGTGTAGGCTAATAATTTAATGTTTTTTGCTTGCAGCGGATTTGCTACCATTAATTAATTAGATCTAGATCTAGCTAGTAGATATCTAGCTGCTGGGCCAAGAAAAAAAATCTAGATTACGAAAATAGTAAAAATGATTACAAAATGTAAAAATGATTACAAAAATAAATCTATCTAAATTTTAAACATTCTGTATAAAAATAAAATAGTAAAAATGATTACAAAATGTAAAAATGATTACAAAAATAAATCTATCTAAATTTTTAAACATTCTGTATAAAAATAAAAGATGACACCAAATAAAGTATGGTTTACAGTACTTTCGGTGAATTCCGGAAGTGTGTGACAGACTTTGGGATTGTTTTACTGTTTTTTACTGCTATACGATTCCGGAATAATAACCGACGCTAAACTAAGGGATTACCCATTTTTGTATATTCTCAAAACATAAATCCTCCTCAAAATGTGAAAAAAATATTAAAATTTAAGGAGTCACCTGTTTTTCACATTACAAGTCGCGGACGATTTTACGTAAGCCTACTACCTAGAATCTACTACCTAAAAATAAAAACGATAGATTACCGTCTAAAGTCTAAGCCAAAGTAATGACCAAGTATGATTAAACGTACCAGAATAAGAGTATACTTTTGCCAGCTATTTAAGTTTTTTGACTTGCGGATAAACATTTTAAATGATGCTAAATTCTAGATTTCTATCTAGATCTAGACTCCAAAATCCTGGGTAAAAAAACAGCCACAAATTTGTTTGTAATAGTGACAGAGCTCTTTGTTACCTGAAGGTAGATCTAATTATTAGGCCTATTTAATACAAATCTAATATTGTTTTCGCTATTTATAATTTTTTTTAATGATTAGACTATGAGGGAATGTAACTAAATTCACTATAGATCTAGATCTATATCTTCGCCGAATCCGCTTTTTTGTTAAGATAATTCTTAATTGGTCTAATTCTTGCGCTTATGTAGATCTATATTTTTTTACTATGTCCGGTTCATTTTTTTTTAAATCTGTCGGCCTAATTAAAATCTTGTTTTGTTCGTTATATCAATCTATGTGTATGGTAAATTTTGCTTAGTCTCTCCGATTTTCATACTGCATACTCCAAAATGTCATACTTTGTGCTATAGGTCTATAAAATGTAAGACCTCTTTAAAATATTGAAACTAATTATATTTTTAAAAAGCAATAAAGAGGGGAAGTAATAACATTGTAGTTAAATTAGTCATGGGAGACAACTAATAAATTTTGTTACATTAACTTTTATTATAAAATTTAAGCTACAAGTCAAAACGTATTTTAATTACAGTCTATTTAAACAATTTATATATATATAGTGTTATAAGAAAATGTAAACAAAACAGTTTTAATCTTACAATTTGAATTATTAATTTTATGTATTTATTAAAATGCACACCTTAGCTATCTATTATTTTTTTTCATACTTGATATACCAAAACGGTGAGTTATGCATACTTACCTGGCACAGGAGGCACCTTGATCAGCAAGGAGGTCCTCCCAGGGCGAGGCCCGCACATTGCACTTCGTGTGGGTTGACCCCTGCGATCACCCCAAATGTGGGTGACTCGGGTGCGTAATTTTTTCGTAGGGGGGACTGCGTTCGCGCTATCCCCTGAATGTCTCTAATGAACGATTGGGTGAAAAATAAATTTGGTGGCGTTTTAATAAAAACAGGCCTTCTTAATTTACATTTTATGCTTAAGTCAGCTTTCTCTGGCCCCCTCACCAATTGCTATTTATATCGGTGATGAAGTGCGGGCGGATCGTTATAATAAGAAATAGTCGTCGATAATCCTTAGTCATACCACAATCTAGATGGGCTGAGTACCGCCTCTGTAGTCATTGTTCAGTTACATTAGAGAATGGAGATGAATAAAAGCACTACACAGGTTTTTAAAATGCATAGCTACTAAAATAAAACAACAATATGATTCAGTAGAATCGGAATTACTAACAGACTGATAAAATTATGTGATTAATTCGTAGTGTTCACAGGACTGTACAGAGTTTCTTCCAGGCATCACTTCGGGGGAGTTCTGTTATCGAGACCAAATCACTAAAGAAAATTCAATACATGCCAAAAAATTATGAGAAAAAGTTGTTTAAGTTGTTTGTAAATGACCATTAGTTAATATAAAAGGCATGCGTTTTATGTGTATTTAGAAAAGAGACTGTTAGTAAGCACTGAATTTTAGACAAATTACAATATCAACAAACACTAAAGTAATTATACTTAAAACAAGTAGAAAAACATGGATGTAATTTGGACTTAGCTCGAATCGTGAATAAACACGGTTACGTATCGTGAACAAACAGTTTACGGCTACAGATATAAAAAAAATGACTTTCAAATGTAATCATGGACGCTCAGTGGGGTGGAACTACTGGAACACTGTGGTGGGTGACAGTTAGTGGGGTGAGGTAAAGGATACGAAGTGCGCAGTACCATCGAAAACATCGCCGCTAAGTCGTAGTTTCTCTCCATTGCGCATGCGTATCGCATGCGTATCTTATTCCGACTAGAATCGGCCTAAAGGATAACTGTACTTTTAAATTTATGGCTACGGTATGGCAAACCCTAAGAAAATGATCTCCCAGGTTCGAATACTACGTTACTGGATCTGTGATCGGAGTCGGTCTCACAAGAGAAGGTTTGTGTCTATAATTAGGGAGAAAACCACGTGACAGCCAGTTACACCTTATTTATGAGTTTCCCAGTGGCATGTTCGCGCTGACGTGAATGTCGGTGCTTTAGACGTGTGAGAAATGAGGACATCTTTACAATACAGCCTCACTGTACATGTTTTAGACACCAATAGAAAAACTCAGGCCACTCGCGGATGGTTGGCCTTAGACCCCACCTGTGTTTCTTCGAGACTTTTTTCTCCGGGGGGGGGGGGGCATTGTTAAAAGTATATACTTTCTAAATAAATTCCATCTCGTTCGGGGGGCGGTAGACTTTCTTCGGGAGGGGGGGGGGGGGGCAGCCGAAGATGCCCGGAAGCAGAGTTTCTTCCAGGCATCTCTTCGGGGGAGGGGGGGGGGCTGAGCCTCCCCGAAAAAGTCTACCGCCCCCCGAACGAGATGGATTTTATATAGTAAACATACACTGTTACTAGTGGCCGCCCCCCCCCCCCCCCCCGAAAAATGTTGACCGCCCCCCCCCCCATAAAATTTCGAGTGCCCCCCCCCCCCCCACCCCGGAGAAAAAATTCTGGAAGAAACACTGCCTGGAAGAAACTACTCTGGGTCCCACGTATTCCTAACGCCGGCTCATCCATAAATGGCGTCACGCTTTTTTGACGTTTTTTACCTCACTTCCAGTGTTTCTTCCAGACTTTTTTTCTCCGGGGGGTCACTTGAAATTTTCGGGGGGGGGGGGGGGCGGTAGACTTTCTTCGGGGGGGGGGGGGCGGACACTGTTAAAAGTATATATTTTCTATATAAATTATATAAATTTCATTTCGTTCGGGGGGCGGTAGAATTTTTTTCGGGGGGGGGGGGCAAAGCCTTCCCGAAGAGATGCCTGGAAGAAACTCTGCTCACCTCTTTCACACAAAACCAGACCCCCCCACCCCCCCCCCCCCCCACTAAAATGACGTCACATCTCAGCCTACAATCCGCCTCAAAATTGCTGTTGAATTTTTCTAAAAACATCGATATTTTTTCTAAAATCTTGTCTGAACTCTATCATATCAACATAGAGTATTTTAATCAATTCCTATTACAGTTTATTAAAATAGTTTTCTAACACGCGAAATAACGGCTAAAACTCGTTTTCTAACCAGGTCATTTGATTGACGTATCCGTCATTGACAACATTCAACAAAGCTTTTTTTTCCCTCTGTAATATTTGTAGTTGGTTTCACAACCCCCCCCCCCCCCCTTGCCTCCTCTGAGATAGTTTTAATGTCTACACACTTAATAGTAACGATGTTTATGTATAGACTATACATAGCCGTTTATTAATAGAGCTGGGTTGTATTAATGGGGTAATAAAGTCTGAAAGAAACACAGATGGAAAGGTGATGCAAAATTTTGCATTAAAGACGTTATATAGGCCTAGTGTTTAGTTGCCCTAGTATTTATTGAAATATCGTATCGATTTCTACAACTAGAATCTAGTATTTAGGCAGACGACGTAACGTAAATGTAATTGAATTGAATATATTACATCGTGCGGCGTCAAAACGGCCAATGACAAAACGGCCCCGACATAAGAGCCCCGTCAAATTGACCTCGTCAAAATGGCCAGCGACATATGGACCCCGTCATAAAGGCTCCAGATAAATAGGCTCCCGCCATTTAGTCTCCCGACAAATACGCTCCCGTTATATAGGCTCCCGACAAAAGGGCCCCAGTCAATAAGGCTCCTGACAAATAGGCTCCTGTCATTTTGGCTCCCGACATATAGGCTCCCGTCATTTAGTTTTTTTCCACAAAACGGCCCCCGTCATTACGACTCCCGACGAATAGGCTAGCGTCATTTTGGCTCACGACAAAAAGGCTCCTGTCAATTTGGCTCCAGACAAAAGTACCACTGACAATACTGTTTCTGTAGAGACTAAGTCTCCCGGCAAAGCGGTACGTCTAATTGAATATGACACCTGCCAGTGGGACCCCTTCATCAATTAGTTAGCTTATCCAACACTCTTAAGTAATACAACGTATGCATCTCTTGTTCGGCAGGCCTTATTTTTATATTAGTTTATCTATTATAAAATAAAGTATGTTCTAATTTAAGGGTCATCTATCTATGACTTCCATAATTGAGTTGTTTATAGGCTGTTCCAACTCAGTGTGTGGGGGAGAAGGGTCCACGCTGCACCTTCCTACCTCCAGTATGCTTGTAGATTATCAAAACAAAATGTCGTTATCCTGTAAACATCATGTATATCGTACATTTTCACTTCTGTGCTCGCTTTTATGCAACAGATCTTTACTGTTATAAATTAAACATTATCAAAATTTTAAAATTGGTAGATTTTAGCTGTTAAGGGCTTGATTTGTTTGTGAATTGATGTTGGTTCATGAAAAACAATTTCATTCAGGCATTAAAAAGAGGTTATAGTAGTAGTGGAGGTAGGACAAAATGGTTACTTTTATGCCAATAGTGGTCATGCCATTCATTTGTCTGGAGCCAATATGTCGAGAGTCATTTTGTCGGTAGCCAATATGTCGGGAGCCCATTTGTCGGTAGCCAATATGTCATGAGCCCATTTGTTGGGAGCCCATTTGTTGTGAGCCCTTATGTAGGGAGCCAATATGTCGGGAGCAGCTTTGTCGGGAGCCAATATGTCCTGAGCCTATTTGTCGGGAGCTAATATGTCGAGAGTCCATTAGTCGGGAGCCTAAATGTCGGGAGCTCATTTGTCGGGAGCCTATAGTTCTATATCGCGAGTCAATATAACGGGAGCCCATTTGACGGGAGCCAATAAGTCGGGGCCCTTTTGACGGGGCTGTTTTGACTGGGTCGTTTTGTCGGGGGTCGATTTGACGGGGTCGAATTAACGGGGCCGTTTTGACGGACCGATTTGTCCTGGGCCGTTTTGACAGGGCACCATATTACATTATTATTATTATTAACTAGATAAATGGCCCGTTGAGGAAGGGTACAACGGGCGCTAGGCTGATAGTGCTGTCTCTTTTCTCTAAACTAAAACCAACCCACCCCCCCCCACACACCACCCCCACCCCACCACCCCACCCCCACCCCCCACAAACCACCCCCACCCCCCACCACACACCAACCCCACCCCAACCCCTCACCCCCACACACCA